CCATATCCGACAAAATTTTTGAGAAGGTAGAACGGGTCGAGATGAACGGAAAAGTCCTGTACCATTTTGCAATTTTCGTAATAGTTAACGAGTAATTAATTATTAAAAATCGTTGTCTTAGGCCGGCCTACCGCTCAATTTGAGCGCGTGGCAAGATGTGACCGCCTGGCGATCGATATTGCTATGCGCACATCTCGCCACGCGCTCGAATTGGGCGGTAGGCTGGCCTAAGACAACGATTTTTAATAATTAATTACTCGTTAACTATTACGAAAATTGCAAAATGGTACAGGACTTTTCCATTCATCTCGATCCGTTCTACCTTCTCAAAAATTTTGTCGGATATGGAAAGACTCACCCTGTATATGTATAAATTGTATATGTGTACAGGGGGTGAGTTTTTAACTTGAGACTGCAAAATGTCTGGAAAAATACTCCAAGCAAACCCTCAATATTTTCGAGGGGGCAATACCATCCCGCAAAAATTAGCCGCCTACCCCCCCCCCTGGTGGTGGAGTTAAGGGGGTTAATTTTGAAATCTTAAATGGGAACCCCTTACTTTGTATTGCAGATTCGGATTCTACGTCCAAAAACACGTAAGTTTTGAGGGTTTGTTTTGAAAGTGTTTCCGTACAACGTTTATCTTCCCAGATATTTTGCAGTCTCAAATTAAAAACTCACCCTGTACATGTACAGCATATACATGTGCTATCTCTTTCAGGATTAATTTTATTTTCTTAATAGAACATTTAGATTTCTATACATTCTCAAACTGTGTTTCAGCCTTATATAATTTTATAAAATTATTTACCACGTTTTTATGTTTCATTATTTATTGTATAATTGTACAATGCGGCAATTCGTAGAAACATCTTTCTTTCCGAATATTAAAATCTTAAGTGAAAGATCTCGCGAGTCTTATTCTCCGCAAAGTATTTGAATATTAGAATATGTATACCATGTTCCATGTATTTGATGGTTTCTTTCTTACTAATCACCTTGTGCATGCATGTGTACGCGCGCACGGGACAATCGGAGATGCAAGACAATCGCGACCCTATTTCGCATCGCGTAATCTTGCAAACTAAAGCTGCGTCTTAATATGTCGCTCGTTACTTGATGTCTCCGGGGAAATATCTTTAACGCTTTTGTGGCCCAATTTTCTTTTTAAAGCGGATAGGTAACGACAAGTGAATATACTGAATATATCAGTGACGGACAATGATATGCTATCGCAATTTCTTCAGCCAATGAGAATTTTACTTTCACAGAAGAAAAATGAAACGGTGTGTGAATTTGTTGGATGAAGAAGTAGCACATTCTATATTTTTAGTGAGTAAAATATCTGTTAACGACAACTCGCATCAAACAAGTCTCACAATTTATTTTTTAATTATATATATATAATTTTGTGATAATACTTTCTTAATTCAGTAAATTAAAATATTTTTGCAATTTTTGAGAAACTACAAGGTATTATAATTTATTATAATATCTAGATATTAATATTTTCAACATTAATCTAATATACATTTATTGTGTGTATTGGGTAGTAATATTATAAATTATAAAAACATTTTATTTATATCTATTGTCCAAGTATGAGATTTTTCAAGTATAAGTGCTATCAATTTTTGTCTCTCGTATCTCCCTTTTGCACACTATGCTGTACGTATTCTACGCTAAATGCAATCTTGTTACAAATGACACGATAACGAAATAGGATAATAATAATAACTCAATTAAAGCGTAATCAATAGCAGATTAAAAAACCGACCGCTCAAATTACCTACTCTTTGACATGACAATATCCCGTTAAATATCGCGTTTTCCGCGCGACCTACGAGTCAGGATGTAATCGTATAATGATGGACTTACGTAATTATAACAATAGAAATCCATTATCGTGAGAATTGTCCGGCGAAATTTCGCCGGTAGCAAAGAGATGTTTTTACTGAACTTTACCAAGATTCTCTATTCATTACTCCATTTTCGTCGACAATACGCGACTCTTGTCGTCATTGGAAATTTCATTGGTTTTATTTCTCACTGACTGACAGACGGACAAGCAGATAGACCGGCTGTTAAGCGTACAACAGGCTGTTCCAAACTGACCCTCCTAAACTCCTCGAATTAATTTTCCCTCAACAAAGAAATTAAAGAATTGTATAATAATAATACGTTACAATTTTATAAGTCATTTATATATGTATTGTAACAAGAATGCTTGTAATATATTGGGCAACGTTTGGTTATCTGGAATTTGAGATGGATGGTTACTTGGTATTATTGTCGAGTTTCTCATTGTAAGACCAATGAACAAATAGCACCACAAATTTGACACATCATCCACGTCGTGTCGAGGCTCAATCCTCGAGATAGCGAATACGGGGGCTTTGTTCGAATGCCAGATGCGATAAGACTTGATTGTAACGGATGAAATCTACTGAATGGAAATATTAACATTAATGCAAGAGAATGGACGAAATAAATTTCCACATGAATAATCGTTTTCTTCTAAAATTAATAGGCACAAAGTAAAATGGATAAATAATTTTCACAACACATTAGTTTCTTATTTATAATTTTCTCACGAATTAGCGATACAATAACGTTTCGATCATTAATTGCAAATTTATTTCGAAACGTTTATTCAAATTCGAAAAATATTTAAGAAAAGATTGTAATTTATTTAATTATTAGAAAAAGGCGATGGAAAGAAATCTTAATTTTCCAAATTAATCTAAACTATAAAAGTCGCTTAAAACTTGTAAAAAAAATGTTTTAATGTTCCTTTATACATATAGATAGAATACTTCTCGAGAACACTTTATCCCTAATAATTCCGTTTCAGTCTTCCATGACACGTAATTCTGTCATCCACAACTGAAACGAATCATTTCTTCTTCCTGGTCGCGTCTATTATTGGGGACGTGATTCGCGAAGAGATGAGATTGATACAGATGTTGCATATCGAGTTGCCGCCGCAGAGACACACGACACACGACACACGATATAGATCTCCATGGAATGTTTCGACGGAGCCGTGCACATTATTCTCTCTCACAACAGCCAGACATTATTGTCCTCTATGGAAAAGACTTCCGCTAGAGGGAAAAATAAAATAGCCGTGGAAAGTATTGGGAAGCCAAATTCACTTCTAAATCCTTCCAGACACTATATGAAATATCAATTTTATTTTATTTGAAACTTGTACATAATTTATAGCAGCAGCGAAATTATATGCGGAAAATTGTTGTAATTCTCATTTTCAATTTTCAATAAGAAAAATAATTTTTCAAGTTATATGTATTCTCTCTCTCTCTCTCTCTCTCTCTCTCTCTCTCTCTCTTTCTCTTCATTATGTGTTCTCTGTATTATTATATGAATTGTTACATAAATAAATTATTACACATAAGTATATTATATGAGTTTGATTACTATTCTGCTTTTCTTTTGCAATTATTATACTATTGTATACATTCCCGCGCATGCTGCAGTGATATTTAGCTCAATCACTTACAGTATCTGTAATAGCACGAGGTGATAATCCTCTTCGAAGAGGAATGAAGTTTAACGCGTGCTCACACAATCGAACTCGTATCGAGATTTGACCCCGCGATATCGCTCAGGAGGTTAATAGGCGTGCAACGTGCAACGTAGCTGAAATGCACCATCCTCGGAAATCGGCCTACGCCTTCATTCCATCTAACCGCTTTAATGATGCATCCCCGACGCGGTTGCACGTATATACACGTAGATCGTGTCACACATACGCACGCGGGAATGATATGTACTTAGCTAAATGTCGACGTCTCTGAAAGGCCTTTCGCAAAATTAGGTCGCGAGGTGTACGAGAAGGCACTGGCGCGGGCCTACGATGCGAATCAGGTCATCATTCTATATCGATTCGGTTCGATTGGACAATTTCGAAGTGCTTTCGAGAAAATATAAATGATATTGAAAAATAAAAATAACCCAATGTCGCGATTGAGAATTTAATTCGTACTGGTTAATTTACGAATGCAGAGAACGTTAAGAATGTTGCGCGCGCGTGCAATCGGAATTATATATAATATACACGCTATATGTTGTGAGATGATCGCACGAAATCCGTGTCATAAAAAAATAAACGAAAATAAATATAACCAATAATCAGAATCATACATCAGCATCAATCCAACTCCTAAACGTAATATAGCAGTCATAACCAGTAACAGAAAAAAAGAGCCATAAATCATTTATGATATAGTTTATAGCATGCTGATTCTTGACAGTTTCTGAATTGTTCCTAATGTTTTTGAAAGAAGAATCCTTTACAAAGAAAATGAAAGATTTTGGAAAAAGATTCTTTTAATAAAATTATGTGTATGTGTGTGTGCGTGTGTGAAATCATATTTAATCTACTAAAAATACATACTAAGACTTTAATAGTAAATAATTCTCCATGGAAATAATACGAGTAAATTACTTAATAGAAAAAATAAAAAATATTATAATTCTCTTAATAGAATTTTAATAAAAATAATAATGGTAAGTAAACTCTAAAAAATAAATACAAAATTGTTAATAATAAAATTGAATTAATAGAAAAGGAACTTTAATAGATTAATTCTGATAAATAATAATACAAATTTTTATGAAATATTTGAATAAATTAAAAGCCAATGAGTATGTAAAAATCTGAAAAGTAGATTTTTCACTTTGATAAAATTGATATAAATTGGCCGTCATCGATAAAAAGTAATTTTCGCCATGTTGTTCTAGACTCCTCCCATAAAATTGAAGTTCACGTAGACACAATCACGTTAAGCTGTCGATACTTCACGGTCGATTCGCCTGCCAATAAGCTTTTCATTTAGCCGCCACGCTTTTATCATCGATAGACACACATTATGGCGTGGCCTCGCGCGAGTCGTAAAATAGAAAATGGAAAAGATCGGGACCCCCTCTCGTGAACGTCCGGAATGATGAATCGTACAAAGCGGGAGCTGATCCAGCACTGTTCATTTCGCGGAACGAGAAACCGTAATCCGGTAAAGCCACCCGGTGTATTACCTCGTACGACAATTCTTCAGGATAAAAAAGCATCTAATCTCCGAGGTAAGCTTGGTTCGCCTTCTTTTATTTGATGTTTTCTCTTAGAAATTGATAAGAAATACGTATGGCATTGAGGTATTAATTGAAAATTGGAAAATTCAAATATTAGAAGTATTACTATTAATTAGAAATATTAATATCTCTTATTAAATATCACTTATTTGTGGAAATTTGTTGATGTTGATCTTCGCAATTATTTCAATTTTTTAAATAAAAATATAAGCCCGTAAAGATCGATGTACTGTGTGTCGAATTGAAATGGATGTATAAACGGATCGCTTCTGTCACCAATATTGATCGATTTTCTTTCATCGTCCTCTACGCTGTAGTATCTAGACTATTGATGTATTGGGTAGCCTGCAAAAAATTGGTGGACCCTTCGTCAATAAGGAATGCGAGTAATTTCATTGCGAAGGATACCTCCTACGCACTATCGAACTTAGAAAGTACCATTTTTTCCAATCTTGCTGGAAGTTGATCAAGATTTATTTCACTTGTTCCATGAGAAAAAAAACCACTGCAAATGTCCTTTTCAGAGATTTGAGACTCGAATCAATTTCGTTTTGACGAGACTGTCGAGGTACAACTTGTACAATGTTATAGCATTTTTTTCTGTAAATTCTTATTTCATAACTACTAAAATTTATTTTTCATAACTCTAGTAGATCTAGTATTATATTTAATTCTTTCCTTTCATGTATCTTAATACCTTATCATTTTGGAGCAATCAATAAATACAAAGTTTTCGATAAAATTCTTTGAAAGAAAGCGGAATTAATTTTTCCCAAATGTCAGGACTCCTACAATTACATAAGATAAATTAAAATAAGAGACCTATCAGACAACTCCATAACTGACGATTTAGCGTCGGTTGGGTAGGACGCGTACAGATTTTTTTATTTTCATTTATTTCCGCACACACACAGTCTTTAATTTGCGAATTCATTTGCGACAGGTTCGATCCTGCGAATGAATCGAAATAAAACTAGACTAGCGAGTAACGCGGCATCGTGAGAAGGGCAGACTCGATCTCTCGACCCAGCAGCAGGCTGAGGTAGGTCAGTGAACGCGACTGCAGCAGCCAGCCAGTCAGCCAGCTCCAACGGGAACACCCTCCCGTCCGGGGTAGCACCCTCTCGCCCGCGACTTGTTCGCTCAATATCTGGTGAATGCGTTGCGGAGGCGAGAGGAAACCGAACTGGAAAGAGAGAGTGAAGGAGAGAAACGGAGGGGCAAGGTACCAGGGGGAGAGGGCGGACAGGTAAACTGCGGGAAGAAGAAGAAGGGGGTGATGGTGTTTACATTACAGCCACGAAGAAACGGAAAGGGATCTCTCGCACCTCTGTATATCTGCATTCGTACGTTTGAAATACATATTAATCGCGCATTAATCTGCTCAATCTCGGGAAAATGAAACAGGGGTCATAGTTCGTGTGTAAGTGAAAGCACTTTGCATCACAATTACGGCCCTTAATGAGATTTAGTAATCTAAATTCGTCAACCTCCGAGGGCTTTAAAAACTATCACCGGCGCTTCTATTCACGTGGAACTTCGTTCCAACGAACTTTTAATGGGGTTGGTAGCGAGGATACTTGAAGTTGAATGTTAAAAGTGGCGAAACGAGATGAAGTTTGATCGAATTTGTAATTTTTAACGTTATATACCTTTGTAACTAAACTTCAGATTAAAATTGTAAGATAAAAAGGAAGAAACGTCCAACGCAACATCAATCTATTTTAATAAAATCTTGCTAAGTCAAACCTAACAAGAATAACAATAAATATAAAGTAAAAATAAACATAATAACAAATAACATAAATGTACAGCAATACAAATTTTAATAAATTAAATTTAACAAACAGCGACTTAAATAATAAAATTTAAAGAAATTGGATCTGATGAAATAAAAAAAATATGTTTTAAAATAAGATTTACTTGTGTTTTTGTTTCAGATTTGCACGCACGTGTATTTACTACGATATGCAATATTCTAATCAGCACGTAATCTGTATACGTCTACGAATCGCGACATGGTTGTGAAATCATTTCGATTTGTGGCTTGAAACAATGTTGATCGTGATTCGCATTTGCGTCGCGTACACGCGTTATATCTATGTATAAATTAATTGCAATTTGCCGTAACCAGATTGCCTGTAAGCTGGCAGTTGTATGGCCGCAATATTCCCCCGTAGAAGATCATAAGCAGTAATTGATACGTTCCCGCGTATCTTGCTAGCAAAATAATATTCTTCTGGCGAGATGAGACGTAAAATGTCGCCTGTAGCCGCCACAGGTGTCAAATGTTTTTGTTAAATATTTTACGAATTTTTCAAACGATATCTCTCTCTCTCTCTCTCTCTCCCCCAATTTTAGCCGCTTTTATAAACCAGCACAAAGTTTCGGTAAACGTGAGAGTGAGAGAGAGAGAGAGAGAGAGAGAGAGAGGGGGGGGTGAAAAAAGAAGAAGCGTTGTTGAATAACGAAAATCCGGCAGCAAAATCGTGCAAAATGTTTCAAAATATTTCTCTCTGGATATTGCAATGTATTTTGATCCATTTGTATGCTGATATGTAAGCCTTTATGCTTATTCATTTTTTAATAAAAAAAAAGGCTTTCGAAAGTTTTGATTGTGCGAAACAAATATTTTTATTCGAACAACTGGTAACATGTTAAAAGATGTTTGCACGAAATGTCGATAATTGTGGTTGCAATTGTGGTATCCCATTTAAACTTTACATCCTTAAAAAGTATATTAAATAGTACAATTTATTGAATCCAATATCGGCAAATAACCGCTTTCAAAAGTGATTTTAATAAAATTACCAGAGAGACGCAAATAATATATTTAACGTAAAGTTTTATTCTTATTGTGAATTATTATCTCCATAAATAGTTTCGTGTTCGTATTAATTATTAAATTAGTATAGAAAGGAAATGAATTTCATGAATTTGATGTTATTATCATTTATACGGATCCAGCATTATTTGGTATATTATGTGCACTTTTACTCTGTATTATAATATTAGGTAATTTTATTTTATCATTCATAATCCGGTAATTTTATAATATTATAACATTATAATGTTATAATATTATATATATATAACATATACACGCAAACATAAAGAATACATGTTATACGCAGTTATTTTACGCGTTTTACCACGTTATCGACGTCCTCGTGCCGTGTAGAATATAATGCATGATGCATTGCTAGATGATCTATTACTAGATTATATGATCTATTACTAGACGTGTTTACTTGGCTCGCAAAACGACGAGCAGGGACTATGCTACTTCGCGGATTACATGTCAAAATTAGAAACATGACTTTCTGACGTTATTTTCATGTGCGAAGCGATGGGACGCCAGCTAAGTGAGCGATAGTAAGAAAGTGAGAGAGGAAGACGGGAGAAAGAGAGGGAGGGGGGGAGGAGGGGGGAGAAATCTTTCATGAGTTTTCAAATACGCCGCCGGTTTGAGGATACGAGAGAGATCTGCTAGAGATGTAACATCGCACCGTGATATTAAAGGGAATACGAAACCGATCGATTCGACTCTACGTCTAGCAAAAAACGCATTTTTATTGAAAGCAATCCATCGCAATTCTCGTTTCGTGGGCGTACGAAACGCGAAGTGCACCTGCAAAAAATCCGCAGGGACGAGAAATCTCGAATTTTTTTTTGTACGCCATCAGATAAAGTGTTACGGAAAGAGTGCAGGAATTTTTATCTTCCTTTTGCCGAACCGTCGCCGCTCTTATCGAAGCGGGGAAAATAATATCCGCAAAATCCGTCGCGACGTGCATTTCAAATGGAATACACCATGGACGTCGCCGCGAATCGCGTCAATCACAATATCGAGACGATATTGTAATGCGTCTATATAATAATAATATAGACATTTAATTCGCGTCGACGCTAAACACATTTGTAGGTATAATCGCTCTCTAATGCGGCGGATGCCGTTTATCGTTTAGCATTTATATCATAATGACAGCTTGAATCGATACGTTATTTCGGGATATATTCGCGAAACAAAATCTACGGATACGTGGCTTTCTACGAAATTTTCATTAAAGATAGATTGACTACGGATTTATCGGGGAATCCGTGATTGAAAGTCAGCTGCCAGCTATTAAGAATTTCTCATTCTGGTAGACACGTGAGTGCTGTATACGAGGATTCAATGGGATATGCAATTTACGATATTTGTTGTATTTTGAAATAGAATCGTAGAAACTGTAAAATTGCTTGCTTACCGAGATTTTCAGCTATTTGCAATTTAAATTAATGAAACGCCTTCCGATTTTCACTCGCGCATACCTTTGTATGTTATCGTTAAATTCAGTTTCGTTCTGAAACGATGCTTTTAATCGTTGATTTAATGTGGAAACGAATTTCTCATTAATCATGTGTAGCGCGCAATTACCTTATTCATTACAAAATTTCAATGTAAAGGCATTCCGACATTATTTCTTCGTAGCCTTGATTTTCAACAATACAATTGTGTTCATGAAAATATCCTCCACTGAAGCTAAAAATGAATTGTTTAAATAAAAATCGGAACGTTTTATTTTTATTTTTTTTTCATACTTTTTATACGTTTTAAATATTTCGAAAAATGTCAAGAGCGGTCATTCATTCTTCTGCTTTAGATTCTGCTTAGATTCTGCTTTTTAAATATAAAAAGTAGGTATATTATATATTATATATTATATATATAACTTCTTATATGATCTGTAATCATCTTATATCATCTCGCAATATCATCGGAATCATAATTAAACCTAAAATTATATCACAAAGTGGAAAAAGATATTATAAGATTAAAATGCGATGGTTAATTTTCACTATTGAACCTTCAAAACTGTCCTACACGCAGGAAAAATGACAGGAATTTATTACGGTTATAATGAAATGTGCGCACTGAAAAAGTATAACTCACTTGTCCGGAGAATTTTATTAACGCTCTTTGTGCGCCTTTAAAAAGGCCGACGTAATGAACGTTCCGTCGTGCATTTTTGCACTGCGTGTCATTTGCCACGAAAAATTTCTCCTCGGATCGATGATTACACGGTTGGTTTCGATATATCAAGCGTAGCGAGAAAAAGGCGAGCGGCCGCGGGCGAAAGTAATAATCTTCGCTTTGTACACGTCGGCTGGAACATGCATTAAGGCTTTTTAACGAGAGACGACTGATGGAAGGGAAACGCAATTGAATTCGCCACCGCTCAATTTCACCGATAATTGAGGGACACCATTCTCGCTTTTCGTGCACTTGATGCACTCGAGATTTAATGCTCCCCGCCCCTCCCGAAAATTCGCAAGGTTTTCGTCGGCATTGTTTAGCATTTTCATCTTCTTATCTCATAATTTATTTTACTTGCTCTCTCCCTCTCTCTCTGTCTATCTATCTTAATTTATATTCTTTCCTTTATTTCAACTTTTATTTTACTTTACTTGAGGTTTCTCTTTTTCTTCCAGACACTCGTCTGGTCCGTTCTTGCACTCACCGTTCTCAATGTTGAGCTCTGCCGCTGAAGCTCTGTAAGAGGGCGGCCTCCCGTAATCACTGGCGTCGCTCGGATGTAACAGCAGTTGATGCGACGTCCTAGAGGGATGTCTGGAGCTACCAGAGGAGCGACGCACATGAACGTTGTTCAATATCGTGCTACTGGATGCTCTACTGAGGGCCGCTCTCTGTCTAACCGCCTCTTTGTAGATCTTGCAGTACATGATGATCATTACGACACCCGGGATCCAAAAGGACACGCAGGAACTGATCATCGCGTACGGGAGGTTCACCACGAACACACACATCTGAGATCGCAGAAGCCGGAGAGCTTTCAGTCGCGCGAAACGCGTAGGATTATTGTAAAAATTCCTACGCCTCACAAATTGTAAGCCATACAGAAGTTTTACAAAATAACAAATGTGAGAAACTTCTAAATAATTTTAAGGCGTAAAGAAATTTACGAAAATTCTGCATAAATTTACAACCCAATTTTATAAATTACATACAGATATACCAGGAAGATCGGTTTTTAAAATATGTTAAAGGGTGAAAAAGTGGAAAGTCCGACATATGATATTCATGAATGTAGGATTTAAATGAATCGAGAGGATGGCTAAATCGTTATTATTTTATCACTCTTTTAATAGCCGCTTTAACAATAGTTACCTCTGAATAAAATTGTAGGTTCGTCGAAACTGTGATATTAAAATGTTGCTAGAATAAATTTAAAAGCTGAAAAATGATTAAAACGTTATAAATTCAAAGGTGTTGTTTATGCTAAAATTGCAGAAAATGCAATCTTTAATTTCACTTCATCTTTTATTTAAATCCTCAATTTTTTCCTTCTGTCATTATCAAAGAATATATACATATATGTATATATACATGTATATATATATATATTATATATATAACGCCATAGCTCATTTATTACTGCAACGCCAGTGCTAACAAATTGCTTTTTGCCAAAGTAACACGAGATAATTTACGCTAATTACACGATTAATTACAGACGAAACTAGCATCCGTTTTATATACATTTTAAACATAATTATTGGTCTTTGTATCTAATTGACTTTGAAAAGCGACGTGGTATTAGCGAGATACAAATTACAATAATGAAATTAATTCCGCTGTAATTAAAGCATTGATACAAACTGAAGTATTATAGTCTTTCCGTAACGACTGAGATTACGAGAGCTCAATCATTAAAAAATTTTAATTAAAGGAAAGATAAATATCGCAATTAATTTGATGCTACCTCCGGAAACCCATTAAATCCCAAGTTGATAAAGGGCATAACATTGTAACCCACCTATATTGATAGCTATTAAGGAAATATTAATTATTATAAGGCAAATCGCGGCACTCAATTAATGTCACCGTTATTGAGTGATTAGTACAGCACAGTGCCATGATTAGTACAGCATTAATATAACTCACGTGTAAGAATGTAGGGAAACATTAATTTGACAAATTTAGTGATTAATCTGATTCTACCTTTTGAAGATCAATTAAATTCGCAATCAGTAATTACTACGAAGAAAAGAATGTTGCAAGTAACTGCAACGGTTAAGAAAAACATGATAAATGAGTCTTATCGCTGGCAGTTTTCCGACGGTGAGCTCCGTCGATTAAAAATCGATAGCTCACGCAAGATTGACGTGAACGTAACAGTAGATATAAATTACATCATTTATAATATCACAATTTGTATCTCTGCTAAGCGCAACAAATCCGTACAGTCGAGATAGCAACGATGCAATTTCACATCGGGATCAACATTTTTGCAGGCGATAACATTTGATTTCCCGATAAAAGTTGTATATTTTTATTATCATTTCGTTGCTACTCCAGTAATTTTATTTATTATTCACATAATTGTTTCAAATAACTATTTGCATTTTTTTGCAACATTCTTGTCACTTATGTATAAATATTTTACACGTACGAATTTATGCGAATTTTTCACCAAACATTAACTAATTTTTGTTTATCTATCTGGGTTATCTGTCTTGTAGATATAATAGACAACGTTACACGTATGGATTGAGCATAGTCTATAGTCAGAGGAATCGGGGAAAATGACAAATAAAGTAACAATATGACACAGGAGGACAACAGGAGCTATAGAATATCAAAATGAGAAATCGTTTTTTGATACAATCTATGAAAAAGTGAGAGATAGATAAAGAACCAAATGCTTCGATAAGCAAAGCTCTTCGATAATCCCGAAACGATGTATTGATTCGCTCTGACAATGAGACTGAATGATCAAAATATTATTTCAAATTTCAAGGCAATAAACACAAAAATGATGTCCACGTTTTTAATATATAATGGAAATAATGTGGATAGAAATTTATATTTTCAAAATATGTTAAATCCGTGAAAGATTTTCCATAAGTACAGAAATCTTAGTAGTACAAAATTAGGAATTATTTGAAAAGTTTTATAATATATGCAATTTTTTAAAATACGGATTCAATAGCGGTAGTATTCATAGTCAGATGTTATGTTTAAGATCGTCTTAAAATTATCTTTAGATACTCCATAGCCAATGAAATGTGCCATACAGTATCTTCGGATAAATTCAAGACGGTCTTGAATATAATATCTGTGAATATCGGCTTGTAAAAAATAAGTTCCTCGGTCATCCCGTCTGTCTTTTACTTAAAATCTTGTTAAAATAACATACTAACTGTATGTATTTGTATACTCGTGAAAGATTCTATGTATATACAGTTAATAGAAAAATAGTTTCTAATTATCTAAATTAATTTGAACAACAAATTGATCGAACGGCAAATCATAAAAAAAGAAATTATTGCAAGTGTGGGGATGTGTCAAAGTGAGATTAATGGACTGTATAATTATATGAACTAATAAAATGTGATAGTAGTTATTGTATTACATAATGTTAACGGAAAGATTTTCTGTTAAACCAAATCTCTTAAAATCTCGATTAATTCTTACGTTCTCACATAGCAAGGATAATTCTGAAATTCTCAATCTTTTGTATTTATAAATTTCTGAATTTCTGGATGTATAAATTCTTAAATCGAAACGACGTTAGCGAGTCTACCTGCGGATTATCCCGACGGTAGTCCAGGTGTTGCTGCGTGGTGTACCAGCCCATAAAGATAGGTATAAAGCTAATCAGGGCAGGCAGAGTCCAAGCACTACTCAGCATGGCAGTAACTGTTACAGTTCTCATAATGGCCGGATACTCCAGCGGCCTGACTATCGCGTAGTACCTGTCGACGCTGATACAACAAAGATGAAGAATACTGGCGGTGCTGAAATAAACGTCCATCGAGTTCCAAACGTCGCACATGATACTTCCTAGCAGCCATTTACCCCCAGAGAGCTCAACGGAAGCATTGAAAGTCATGGCGCACACCGCCACTAAGAGATCCGCCATTGCTAAGGAAACTACATAGCGATTGGTGGGCACTCGTAGCTTCCGGTGTCTTCTAACGCTGGCGATCACCAGAGCATTGCCTAATAAAGCGGCGACAATGATGCTGATCATTATGACACCCTTAAGAGCGGTCAGGGTGATGTTCCTTGATTCGGCGATGGCGCTCGGGTTGTTTTGAAAAGGGGAAACACCCTCGAGGCTTGAAGAAAGATTGAGTATTGTGCGGTTAACCTCCTCATCCGGAGGCTCACTGACTTCCATCCCAGACCGAAAGTCGCAATATCATATTAAATGTTTATTTGTTAAAAGCCATCGACAAATTTGCCGACTGTTATAACCGTTTCCGGCGCTACGACAGCGATTTGAGTATCTCATTTCTGAGTTCAGTTTTTATATTACACAGATAAATATCACTTTCACCATCTCCAATCCAATTGTGTCTATCCACTGCAGTCCAAGTTCTCCAGTTATCACAATCACTTTCCATAGTAATAGTAACTTACACCCACGTAAATGGCGATATAATTAAGTTTGTTTTTATTAAAGCAACTCTCTGTATAACTCTTATATTGTTCGTGTCAGTCTTTGTACTTTATAAATTTGATCGTTCATTGTTCGTTCGATAATGAGCATTATCTGCTTCTAAAGGAAGAAATATTAGCTGATTAAAAAGTGAGCTACATTTTTCTTTAAAAACAATGATTAAAAATGTGAATATTTATATCAGAGTCATAAAAAGGTTCATAAACGGAAAAATGTCATGCTTTGAAATGAAATAAAATTAAACGAAGTATTACAATTTAATTAGATTAATTAACGGAAAAGTATTTGCATAGGTAAACAGCATAGTAAATATGCCTCGAGTACCAGATGATTTAATTAAAATTAATGTATAAATAAAACGTTGAATTACATATATAAATCCACAACATAAAGTAGAAAATGAACGATGTCTAATTTTTGTGTAATCATTATCTTTCATTACTGTTTTCGTCTGATAATAATAAAACTGCCGGTTAATTATCGCAATGTTGCAAGGAATAAAAAATAACGTAACAAATCCAGCACAGATATAATGGCGGTTCTTTCAACGGAAACTTTTCTTTTCTTTCATCCTCCAGTTACCGATCGTGATGGCGAGCATCGCAATTACAATCGTACTGGCTATTATGTATACCTCTTGTGCCGCGAGGTGTATTATCTGTAAATACATCTGACTGTTATTAACGACGAGCCACGAAAACGTTTCATCAACGATTTCTCCTTCACTTTCTTGGAACTGACACGTTTTATATTCATGTAATTACATATACATGTGTATAATTTAAGGGTTTCCAACTCCTTTAGTGACGGATTGACGAATCGAACATTGACGGCTCAAAATGCATGAGTGTAACATTTCATTAGTGACTACATATTCGCAGATAATTACGACAGATCTTCACATTAATCTCGCTTTTGATACTTTGATGCGTTAATTTTCAGCGAACTGTTAGTCTAATCCTTTTCGATTAGTTTTTATTTTCATCTAAATTAATACTTCATTTTTCAATATTAGTATTCAATTTTTAATATAAATATTTTATACACTTTATAGCTTGTCTTTTAACTGTCTCTG